CGTGCAGACGTTTCGGAGAAGCATCTTGTGTCCATATTCAGGACTGAACTGATTGACTGACTGTTGAAGGCAGAAGATTTAATATGAATATAGGAATATAATATTGTTATGTGTCGTATATTAATTTATTCGTGGTTTAATTAACGACGTTATAAGTAGCTTAGATTAGGTCCTGTACAGAGTAAAATGTTACAGTGATTAGTGAATAATAATGAACTGGTAAGAAGGTTAGTTTTAATTCCTGGAAGCGCCAATGAGATTTCAATGTATCGTGTTCGAGAAATTTTCAATAAAGCAAATTATCCCAGTAAACTTGTTCTAGTAAAGGAATTTTTCTAGACCAGTCGTCATTTCGAGATTAGTTGTCCATCCCTGACCTACGACTGTCCCGAGTAGTAACAGATATTGTGGTCCAGCCGTACCCGTAGTCGTTGATGCTAGCTGCAGGTTTATTAATATTCTTTTATTTCTCAGCAAACTCATGACTGCGTAGGGAGGGTGGAAATTCCAGCAACTGGAACATCGTATATAAGAGAATGCCTGAACCGCGACGTATCATTTAAAGTAGCCTTGAACTTTCCGTCAGGTCGCCCAAGAAGATTGTTATCGCCCAGCTGGGAAGACCCCAGACTCGTTTCGAGGAGGTAACATTACCTCACGACTCTCATTTCCTAAAAACGTTGTTCAGGATTTTATATGCTCAGTGGTACTAAGATGACCGTCTTCTGTGTTGTTGAAGTGTCATTCATCGGTACTGATGTCTATTTATTGGCAATTATATCTTATCTCTCCGTCCACGTGATTTACCTCGAGAACCGTTGGATGGATTTGGATGAAATTTGGTACAAAGTTTATGTCATTTTGAACGACCCTAAAATCGCACTTTAGAAATTTCCTGCAATATTCTGGCACCGATAATAGCGCCACTTGTAATTTTTTTTTTATTTAGTGTTCTGTCTGACGACCGGTCCATATGAACAGGATCCTTCCCTCTTTTTCTCGGACTGGGCCCTGTTCATATACGTTCTTGGCAGATGATCCATAAGTGGTTTGCCATTGCCTTCTTCTGTGTGTGAATGGAGTAATTGTTGGGATGCCACGGAGGAAAACTCCGTGTTGCCTAGACCACGGCCTTGCCCAACACAAGTTATAAATTCGAACCCGAGACCCCAGGATTACAAGGCCAGCGTTCTGATCGCTAGACCACCGTGGCGTTAGGAGTACAAGAGATTAGGTAGGAAGGGGAGGGATATCAAATAGCAGAAAATTATACATTTTTAAATAGAAAAGGGAACTTTAATCACCACTTAGGAACAGGATTTTTCGTACATAATAAGATTATTTCAGCAGTTAAAAGAGTAGAGTTTGTTAGTGATAGAATGTCGTATGTAACTCTTAAAGGGACGTTGCTCTGATAGTATACTGAAAGTGCATGTCCCAACGAATGATAAATATGATAACATAAAAGATAACTTTCATGAAGAACTATAATGGGTATTGATCAGTTCCCTAGGTACAACACAAAAATTTTCCCAGGACATTTCAATCTGAACGTAGGGAGGGCATTTTTAAACCGATTATTGGAAAGGAAAATCCACATGAAGTTAGTAACGATAATGGGGGCCAGAGTAGTAAATTTTGAAAC